CCTAGATGAGGTGCATATACTAGCCCTACACTAACATGTAGATACTAGCAACTGGCTTGAAGGGTCATACCAGATATATCGGTGATGAATAAATATTTTTAAACAACCCTTGTATTGCCAATAACGACAACAACAAAAAAGAGTGTCACACAGAGAGAGAGAGAGAATTCAATTCAAGGTTTGATACGTTACACACGTTACAAAAGTTTTTTTATAAATCATCATCATCATCAACAGCCTATACTAGTCCACTGCTGGACATAGGCCTCTGCTAATATAGATTATGCTAATATATATTAGCAATAAGCTAAAACATAAGGCTAACAAATGAGTTTAAAGTTACCTATATTTTTAAGTATAGAAAAAATCATATCCTTTATTCATAATATGGGCAATATAAGCTTTCTTTCTCTATTCAGTGTACAATTATTACTTAAATTACTTTAATTTAAGTAATAATTGTACCCTGAATAGAGAGTAAGTAACCGAAATGAATGATTGTGGTTGTCGGATATCAGGACGATCCACGAAAGTAAGTGTAAGTGGTTACCTCAGTCCCTCCCTTCAGCGACGTTCTTTATCCCTCTTTTGTTGATATTCGGCTGACCTACAAACACAGTTTCGATCTCTACGAGTTCGTACGCACCCAACAATAATATTTTATATACTTTTGAATTTGTAGATGAGTTGCTTTTAGTAGGCATTTTAGTAATAAGGAGTCATAAAAATAACAATGAACATAACTTTTTAGGGGTGTGAAAAACATTTGGGAGTTAGTCGTGCGAAACTGTGAATGGGAGGCTGAATTTTTTATAGAATCCATTGTTACGTTTAATCCATTAGAAGGGATTTTGGAGGTGATAACCTTCTGTTCAGTCTAATGCAGTGTCGTGATAACTTCACTTTAGGTACCCTTGAGTTTCAACATACAGAGGGCTTCATTACATCACATCATCAATAGTCTGTAGTAGTCTACTGTTGGACATAGGCCTCTCCTTAGAAAAGAGGTTATGGCCTACCGTGCCACGCTGGCCAGACGGGTTGGTATAGCGTTTGTTTCAAGATTTCCTTCTCTTTGCAGTACTGTTGTTCTGCGTAGTTTGCTCCCTTAGTCGGCTCTTACGACACCACGTAATGAATAGGGGTGGTGACACTCCGTATTCTTAATCTGTCACCACACGGACCGATCGTCACGGTGACCGCGTTTTGCGCAGTGAGTGGCCCGCGTTGAAAACTTTGCCGAACGCGATCGCCGTCGAGATCGAGTAGAAGTGAAATAAACTTACACTAAGCCCTCAGATCGTGTATTGAACGGAGACTAAACGGTTTTATATATAAGTACCTTGAATATATGTACTTTAACAACATTCTGAACAGGTTCAAAATATAAATGGTTTTTTTTTTGGACATGATAATGGCCTATGATTTTATATAGAGGCACCTTGGACAGCTGCAACTCAAGAGTTACAACAGTGTGGCCGCCATCCCCCACCTAATCATGGGGTTGGGGGAAGAGGATTAAAGCACCGGTAACCACAATCACTAGGTAAAAAGTAACGAAAGAATTGCCCACCACTGGGTTTATTTCAGCCCAGACGGCCCACAGGTATAGAAAGATGGCTCTACTTCTAACAAAGGTGTTGATATGAATAGATAATAAGTTATTCCTTGGACTAAGCATTAATAACTTAATATCTTCTTCTCTCCTAACTTATTTGCTGTGCCCGACGGGTTCATAATGGTTCTGTATTTTTATATTTTTAAGACCATTTATGTACATTATTGAACGCAATAAATGATCAAGTATCGAAGTACTACTCACGTAACTAGCATTTTAAGAACAGTTATATAATGTGAAAGAGCCATGTAGTTAGTGCTCTAAAGTCACAGTGACTTTACAAGTACTAAAAACTCACAATGCGAAACTGTCATGTTGTAATATAATCACAGTACAATTGTTTTCGCATTACTGTACAATTATGATGCATAAAACCGTATAAACAAAGATTATACCATAGCCCTGTTAGATGTACGAAGACATATCGCCGACATATCGCCCCTTGCGTGACGAGATAGAAATAAAATCCCGGATATGAAACACTCAGGGCCTTTTAGTGTTTGCTTTACTTACGTTCCTGAGAATTTCTCCTACACTCCCACAACTAAGCTTTCATTCTAGTATACACGTTAGAATATTTAAACACAAAATAAATTGAATAACAGTAACTGAGATATATGGCGACTATGTATTTATGAAGGGGTTCAGTTTAGGAGGAGAGTTAACTTGGCAACTATCAATTACATCTTTAAAAAAAAGAAATCATTCTGACACCTTTTATATCTAACGAATTTGATTTAATTTATTTATTGAAAAAAATAAATACACAGAATTATCATCAAGCATGACGCGATTACCCATTTGCACAGTTCTTAAATTTTCTTTTTCATTTCATTTATTTCTTTTTAGTTCTAGTTGTTAATGCGGCATGTGGTTCATTTTAGACTCAGAACACTAGAACTTGAAGAACTAGTTGACTTAAAGAAAAGCTATGTGTGGACATTCAACCTAAACTGCTTGCCTCATGGCAGCATGTATCCTCTTATGAGTGATTAAGAATTCATGTAAGAAATAAATACCCAAACCAAAGGATTGAAGAAAATTATTAACCTATGTAAATGAATCTCTATCGTTTCTATAAAAAAAATACAAAAAAAAAAGTTATAATTGTTTTAAATGTTTCTGATAATTGAGAGATCGTATTTTCTAGAAAACTGTGAAACCACAATAAGTTTCTATTCATCCACTCCAGTTTAAAAATAGAACAAACAAAAACAATTAGAGTTATTGCACGTGCCTCCTCAACTATTTAAAACACCGAACCATTGAAGTGTAGTTCTCTGATTAGTTTTCGGGAGGGCGGAGTAAGTGCCAATTAGGAGTGTTTACTAGAGCCTTCATCGGTAAATATTTACGCGTTTGTTATCTAACTACAAACGATCTCTCTAATAAAACTGAGAATGAAACTTCCCAAGAAACATTTTAGTTTATTAGAAGAACGTCTTGATATTTCATAAATCCAGATTCCTCTGTTATACCGAATAGTTCAGTTATTACAGATTTATTTTACGTAGAAATTCTTGTTTGAGTACAGCTCAATATAAGAGAAAATTGTATTTTACTTAAAAGAAACAGTCTTCGTTTAATAGATATTTATTTGTGTAGAGTAAATCTAATATCGATGGGATATATCAAAATATTATTTTTAACTTGATTATCTTACGCTTTGAGAGAGTTATATTTTGAGGTTCTCATTATCTCAAAATTCGAGTTAGTATTTGAGCAGACGCACAAAGTTATATCTTGCCATAGAAAGCATTTTTATTATAACGCAACTTATGTCAGTTAGTAGTCTATTGTATATATATAACTTCATAAAAGAGCTGTGTGTGTGCCTTCTTGAGTCTTTACTGATAGATTTGTCGATAGAAGCCTCCTTTTTAACAAACAGAACAAGATAACAATAACGTTGCAATAGGTTTCGAACAAGATAGTGTGAGTGGTATGTATGAGACAAATGAGCGGGTGTGTGAGCCTTTGTAACATGGCAAGACAAATGGAGGCAATCGCCACGGTCCATCGGCCTTTATGAGCCGGAAACTCACCGGAATACCGACACAACTATGTCGCACGCTTTTACTAGATATATGTCGACGCTTTTACTTCATGAACCATCATTCCATTGTTACAAAGATTTTTATAAGGTAGACAGTGTTTTAATACTTTAGTTAATAAATACTGCTACTTCCTCTGACGACTTCTATTTATCCGTGTATATTATGTTTGTGTTCAAATCATATTCACCCGATTTTAGAAATACCTATTTCTTAGCGTTCCATGGATTCACCGTTCGGGTGCCGGGTCCATCGCGTGATAGATGGGGCCAACACATGTGATTTCGACATGGGACTTGCGGCCCAGGTATAGGTTAAGGGAGTACTCCTTGCGACGCGTCAGCGCTCACCTCCTCTGTCTGCTGTGTTACCCCCTCTACTTCACCATATTTGATACGAGGCTAGTAATGCCGCTTTGAATATTCGTTTTAGGAAAGAGCTTACTTAAGCTCTTGATAATCCAAGGTCTTTAAGCAGGTTATAGAACAATTTAGCTGGTATACCACTCGCACCTACTTCCACGGCATACAATGGTTATGTCGTTGCATAACCATTTTTAGTTATTTCGTTGGTTGGTTAAGTCAAAGTACTTGTTTCTTTTTAAAGGGTGGTCTTTAGGGATATTCGTCTCCCACGGCACTGTGAGTTCTATTAGTACTACACGCTCAATTGAAATTGCATAAAGAAATATGTCTGGTCTGGAAGCCGTGGCACAGATATCCTTCGGTATTCTGGAATGATTTTCATACGTTTCGACTAATAATGTCCAGTCACTGGCGGTATTTATAATTGAGTACGGCTTTTGTAAAGTCTTTTTTGTTGAGCCTTCCTTTACATACGCGATGTTAGTTCTTATGTTTGTTGTTATTCCTGTTTTCGCTCTTGCCAGCGATAAACTTATAGCTTCGCGTATGATTTGTAATACCCTATCATGGCGACGTGAATAATGACCCCGGTCTATTAGCGCCTTAGAACCTGTCAGTAAGTGTCTGGCTGTACCTGTTTCCGCACTGCACATCGTACAAGCCTTTTCTGTAGCTTTTCACCACCTTACTAGGGAGCTTTGATCGGGGAGAGTCAATTGAAAGGCGTTGAGGATAAATTTTAACAGGGCAGGTGACCAGATACTATACATAAGATTACGTATTGTTATTACTAATGTGTGGGCCAGACAGCGGGCAGGGAAGGTTTGCAAAGCAAATGTTAGACTTAATCTACTTCATCTGCCTTGACACTCTTACCAGATGAGTGAAGCCATGTCTTTCGCATTTAAAAAAAAGTTTTGTTTATAATTAAAAAAAGAACTCATATTATTTTGTGAAACTTACTTGGCACTGCTGCGGCCCCTGTCGGTTTGGCGAGGCAGGTTTGGGTCGAACTTTCTTAGACGAGAAGGGTGGCCGTGAATCCAGCCCCGTCACTGCCACTGAGACTGTTGTGATGGGTACCAAACCACTCGATGAAGATGTCGTGGTAGTACACTCTGGAACAAACGAAATCAATATTATAGAAATGATTAAGATTTCATATTAAGTGCATGGATGTACAGTATATCTCAAGCGTAAGTTTCTAGAGATATAATACAAATAAGACACTTTAACGTAAGGAAGCGATTAACATTTAAAATAACATGTTTAATATCACGTCTGTCACAAACTCTAATTATATATTCGATTAATATCTTTATACCTGCAAATTAACAGACATATACCAGTAATATAGTTTGCCCGATATGGTTATGTTAACATTTGTAATATTTATAAATATCCTCATTAGATATTCATTCACAATTTTAAAATACATTTGAGAGGTTTAAAACGATGACGTCATAATCTGACCAACCATCGTTTTCAGTGTTTTAATTCGTAATTTAGGTTTGCTCTTAATTTCCAGTGTTCGATATTAATTTAAAACGAGCCGCAAGCAAACAAGAGCTCTAAAATGTACGCCCAGCAAAATTGAGAGTTATTTCTCAATTTTCACGCCCGGGAAAAACTGTTGAATTAGGTGAAAGTAAAGATTGTTTGGGCAAAGGATCAATTTGGGGAAACTCGGTATTTGGGCTGTTCACGAACAATCTAATTTCGTTGAGGTTTTCATTTAGCGTGTGCATAAAACTCGTGGCTTACGTTCTAGTGAACGCGTATTACCACAATCTATATTGAGAATTATTGTCTCTGTCGAAGATCATTACTTTCGAACGCAAATCCTCTTTTCAAAGGAGTTTTTTATTGAAATTTTCAATCGTCATTAATCAATGTCTAGCTATAATTTTTGCTTGAAGTTTTTTTGTTAGTATTAGGGTCCTTATGAAGATATTTTTTTTGCTATTTTTACTGTCGTTTTGATGTTTTGGTTTTGTTTTATTGGATTTCTCGATTAATTCAGTGACCGGTTGGAATATACTGGTAAAACATTTCCTCATTTTTATAAGACTTGTTCAAGTCACAGATAGTTTGAATCATCGTAATGAATATTGAAATAGTTTATTCTGACTACCATTCTGAGTCGAAAATCATTGAAATTTTCAGCCGGAAAATTCAATTTTTTATGTAATCAGCTGTCAAAGGTTAAGGTCAAAATACGATGAATTTTCCAGCAGAAAATTCGAATGACTTTCGACTGAGAATACACTATTTTAGTATTCGTTATGATGTACACCTTACACCCTGTACGTATCATGAGTGCGGTAATCCCCATAAGCCTAATCACAGATGTTTTATTCTCAAGTGTTATAAAATGAATACTCATTTAATACTTTAAGGAGTAACTTTTTTTTTCTGTACGGAAACCCCCTCGGATATCACCCGCCGGTGGTTATGTCGGACTTGAACCGACCAAAAACCACACTCCGTCTCGGGTACCAGTAGCCGGGGAGCCAGGTGTACCCTAGGAAGGAAATCCCTGGTACCTCGACGGACCCAATATATTACCGCCAAAATATTACCAATAGTATAAATATATTCTGTTTGTTTTCTGTTTTAAAAGACAATTCCCGCACTAGCAATACCCTGTGTCTCGGGGAACTTTACAAACATTCAAATAACGGACATAAAGAACACCCAGAGTCAGTACAACAATTTGTGGATCACACAAAGTGTTGTCCCATGTGCCCACATGTCGTCAATGTCTATATTGAACTGGCGTAGGACTCGGCGAAGTGACCACTTAAACCACTCCGTCATCCGTGCAGTCGTAAACTCGCCGATAATTATATACAGGAATAACATGCGTTCTCAAAGCCCATCTCGGTTCACTTTCTACCACCAAAGACACAATTCGTGTTTACAGTTGAATTAACTGTATAATTGCTACCATTATGTCTCTCTGAATACGTGTTCAGTGATGTTACGGTAAGATTAGAAGCTACAAACACAATGCATATATCAAATGTCTCATATCCTGACTTTAGCCGAGTGTGGCTACAAACAAGCTTTAGGTATCCATTGAAGGCGATTGCTATCGGACTCAATGGTGGTCCAATTCAGAGTCAGACTTAGAACGGCGACTGTACGAATCTGTATTGATTTTATCATTTGATGGGAGGTTCTTTGTCACTCGACATAGCCCATTACCTTGTTTATGTTTGCGCAGACCGCATATCCGTCTCGGCCGACCGATGCCGACTAATGGTACCGAAGAAAAATGATTCCCGATCTTTTTCATGAGGGAACCTGTGTGGAAAGATATATAAGTAACAAAGTGGTCGCTTTTCAGCGATCCGTGTGATGAATAGGTAATGTCGTCGAAGAAAAAAGACGTCGCTCGTTCCACTCAAGGATAAGTTTGCTAAGCCCACTTAATTATGTTAGGCTTTTGTGCCTACGTAACAGGATCACGATTTTTCCTGTTTTTTCGATTCGATGTTAGGAAGGTAATTGTACTGATTTCTTTTTGTTAGGGACACAGACACATCATATTGGTTTTTATGTAAAACAGTATTAATATATGAATACACATATACGGGCTACCCATATGTAATTGATTAATGATTGCACTGTAAACCGTACCGTACGTTAAGAACAGAGGTAAACTGCGTTATGAAAGGTGAAGATTTATTCTGAGTATTCTGGAGAAGACTATTGGATTAGTACTAATTTCTTTTCTATTTCAGGAAATTTGTATTCGACATCTTCATCTTACTAGAGTTTTGCAGCGTACACAAACCAACTTAACATTTTTATATATACAGATGTCACAATAAATAATAAAATAATATGAAGGGCATACTATGACCTACATAAATTCTGCACGACAGAATTTACACCTAGTTTTGAAGCGAGTTTGGTGATTCACATAACTTGGTTCTAAACTTTCATTATAATTTACGAGAATACATTCTATTTACTATATTACTATATAATAATTATATTATATTAATAAATAATAATTCTAAAACTCGTAAAGTCGTAAAGTATTAGTGGTCATACTACAATAAATAATATCTTCATGATGCCCGTTCCGTTTAGATTTTACCGTATCTAACGAAGAGCGACCCGAATTGTCGATAGCCAAAAGAACTCCGACCGACTCGATCCGTATATATCATCTATCGTATATATCGTATATATCTTTACCGTATATATCATGGAGAGTGCTCCGAGGAATTGTTCGGACTAATACCAGCTGCAACATTCTGCCATCGCTCCATACGGCAAGACTTTCATCCCTACCACTTGGATAATTGGCGCTCCACTATTACACGCTTTTCAAGATACTTTTTACTTCGCTTAACCAATTTGTATCATGGGTTATCGTCTGCGGTATTTCCGAACCGATACGACCTCCAAACCTTCAAGAAAAGAGCGTACTCCTTCCTCAAAGGCCCGGCAATGCATTTGTGATTTCTGAGCTGCAGGATTTTATGCAAAGCTGCCAGTTCTTACATTTTTTTTGTGTTCAGTTTCACTCATATAAAGTTTTTGTAAACTTTCATTTATTTACTATTAATTTTTCAACTTTTCATCTTCATCACCATGATAGTTAGCGCTCCACTAATGTGTGCGATTTTCGAGACACTTTTTCACAATTAATCTGTGGCACGGGTTATCGTCTGCGGTCTTTCCGAACCGATACGACCTTCAAACCTTCAAGAAAAGAGCGTACTTTACCTTCCTAAATGGCCAGCTACGCGTTTGTGATTCCTGAGTTGCAGACGTTCATGGGCGGCATTGGTCACTTTCTATCAGGTGACCCGTCTGCTCGTCTGCCTCCACTAACATAAAGAAATATATATATCATCATTTCTTAATTTTATTGTGTTGTTATCCTTTCTTAACAGCAAACAAATGACCCAAATGATAGTGAGTAAACAACGAAGAGTAAAATGTATATTAATTAAAATTAAATTTATTAAATTTTTAATATAAAATATTTGATGTTTAATGTAAATCTATGTAAAGTAAAACTCATTAAAACATGAAAAGGCATAAGTTCTACACTTTGGCAGAACCTAATAAATGAGGTTATTGCTATATGTATATATCGAAAGCCTCCTTTTCACTTATTTTATGAGGCTGTTAAAGTTGGATGAGTTAACAAGAGCGTACCCAAGAGACCTGTTTTGGCCTCGCACAGGCCTTGGTTTGGCACAAGTCCCTCAAAACCCACATTACGTGTTCGGCCGTTTCGTCTTTGGTTTACCGAGCGCGATGAACGAAATTGTATTTCTTTATGATGCTAGCTACTAGTGGATGCTGAAATTTTATAAATATTTTGTGACTTGCTCATGCTAAAAGTGGATTTTTATAAAACTTGTCTTTTGTTATTAGCAAGAAAGGACTACTAAACGCTGTTAATAATAGTGATGAATAGCACCTTTAATATTTCATATTTAAACAGCCGTGATAGACATGATATAAACAAATAAAACGTTCACTATATCAGTCAAAGATATATATTACCTTGGTGTTATGGCATTACTGCATAAAAAGGCGTTTACGGTTCGTCATAAAATTTTCTTTGAACCAAAAATGGCAGACAAAGGAGTGAATAAACGCCGAGATTGGAAAATTATTCATATTGGTGACACGGTTGAAGCACCCCGGGGCACCCGACCGCCTGGCCGCCCCGACCGTCCCTTCCCTACGTGTATCTATCGAACAATTGATGGATATTTCTACAAATGCTTAGAAATTTATTACGGACACAAACCTTTTTTTATCTATTTGTTTTGCAACTATCTGTAGAGATTTTGTTTATACGACCTAACAATATGAGGGGAACATATTTCTGTTCGACAACAAACCATTTAGATAGAGTAGGTATTATACCTAAATAAATATGAGTTACGTAAATAATCTTATTAGGGTTGGTTTGACTTTTCTTAACGAACTTGCTCTAAGCGGCTACGGTTCGTTTTGAGGAAGAGATGATCGTAACAAACTTTCGAGTCGGACTACATAATACTGCAAAAGCAATTGATCGTGTCGTTGTATGTAGTTTACATTAATGCAGTTTGAGGTAAGTTCATGTGTCTGAAAT